CTTAATCTGTCGAGAATCTAAAAAATAAACTTTACTGATTGCATTTATCGAAGTGTTCTATGCAAAAGTCCTGGGCGAACAAAGAAATCTGCCAGTCAAAAAAGGCCATCCTGCGCAATCCTTCGATGACCTACTCTCTGAGATTCGTCTATCAACACTCGAGCGCAACTTCCGGAGTGTGGATGGTTCCAACTTTTGCGAGAAACAGCAAAAGCCAGATACTGTTATCACTCCAGAAAAAGTGCGAGGGGTCTGTTGTCCGACGGCGGTGCATCGGGAGGCGGTCATATGGCGCGATCCATTGGCATTAGAGCGCACAGCCCCATCCTGTTGTGGCCGGACAACTCGTCCGCGTCACTTAACTACTATAATTCAACAGTTGATCGATCTGGTAAGTTGGGTCTCAGAAATCACGATGAGCCTCAATAATCTTCAAAAAAGCGGATAGCTTCTATTGGCCTGATGCCAAGGCAAGAGGAGTGAATGGAATGTGTTGCGCGGACGAGTTGTCCGGCCACAGCAGGATGTGGTAATTACGGCCTGTGCGCTCCAATGCCAATGGGATCGCGCCATATGACGCACACCCCGGGCATCTGCTGACGCAATTGCTATTGACAAAAGAGAACATGTTAGAGCCTGTCATATATACTGAAGCTCTCCACTTAGCAAACTAAGACATGTCAAGAACTGTGACGTATTCTGAGAGGAACTGACCTATTTCCTGCCCTACCTCTTTTTTTCTTTTTTCCACATCCAGAAAAAGTGGCGCACCACAAGATATCGGGCTTCCCCTAGGACTAAGCCTCGGGGTGGGCAGGAGCTACTGAAAATCACTCACTCTGGAGTCTCCCCTTCCTCCGCCAAGGCTTAGTCCCTTTTCTAACAGAAAACAATCGTTTGACGCGGTTTTACTTACGTGCGTTATCGTCGCATGCTCGCATCTCTTGCGATAGGGCCTTATTTTGTTTTGTTGTTTTGTTGTTTCTTTAGATGAATGTTGGTTCTTAACATGTTCTGGTTTGTTTGCTGTTAGAAGGCGTTGCTCTTTTAACACGTTTTGTTTCGTTAGCAGGTTGCAGCAGCAGATGCCCCGCCGTCGGACAACAGACCCGGTGCGAGATTCGTCTCATTTCCTATCAGGGGATATCTCATCTTTCAATTCATTCCGCTTATACCACGGCTCAAAGTCAACAACAGTAACTCAGGGTCGTTATAGTCGTCACACGGCTCGGCCTCTCGCAGTCGTAAAGTATGGCTGTTTTAACATGGACAATATCTAAAGCGTTCTTACTTCAAGCAATTGTAATACCGTATCTCATTTAAGGACAAGTTTTGAAAACTTACCTGGGCTACTGTGACGTAAATTGCCCAAGCAACACAATGGGCAAGAATTGAGAATAACAACCCAACAACGAATATGACAATTTCTAGTACATATGTCTTAAAAATGCCATTTCATAAAGCAGAGATGTTGGATTCGACGAATATGATGTGAAGTTTGAACCGAACTATGTCAGACTTTGGGCCGCTGCGTGAGGAATTCATTTAGCCATTCCGCTAGCGCCGCGTGTCGAAATAGCGTACCAGCACTTGGCGGTTCGCTAGCTGCGAAGCGACCAATGACGGTAGCGAATCGCTCCATTCGCCAAAGCCTGACACGCCTTATGAAAGTCACATCGCCGATATCCAAAAGTTGGCGAGTTGGCGACCGAATTGACGTGTACTTGATAGAAGTTGCGTGGATGAGCTGTTTCCAGCATGCTTTGCTGATATCCAACGATGATACTGGCAACAGCTTATCTACGCAACTTCTATCAAGTACACGTCACATCCATTGCCACACCTACCCCAACTGTCCTCGATATCGAGTCATATGTAATGTAACCCCTGACGCACCTCTTAGTTTGTCGCGCGTCGCGTGCGCAGTAACAGACCTGACAGGCAGCGTCACTTTCACAACTTGTCGCCCTATCACGACCTTTGCGTACTAATCACCTTGCGTGCTCCAACCAGCCCGTGATAAGGCGAGAGACACAGCCCGCTGAAATCTGAGATATCAGGATATATTCTGGACCATCTTAACCGCCTAGTTTTTTGCTATATTCGTCCTCTATCTTGCTTGAGCAGAGTTCCCTCCGCAGTCAGCACCACTCGCAGGACGTTGCGATTGGAGCGGCGCACTTTTGCGACAAGTTCTCGTTATACAAACAAATCTGTGCGGACTAGAGCAGAAAATTAGCCGTTCGAGCAGCTTGGACTAGGTTCCCGCAAAGTCAGCACGCACGGAACAGTGGCGTTACTTCCGGCGCATGCTCTCAGCGAACGCGTCGAATCGATGGCGCGCGCACGAGACGCGACAAAAATACGACATGGTGCTGTAAGCCGAATGACACCCACTCGTGAAACATAGCCTGATGTTGCAGAAATGGCTTTGACTTTGACATACAAGCCGACGTACCTGATCATTTTCGGCCATTCTGCTCACTCACCGTGAGCTAACCTTCATTGACTAGAAAACTATGGAAAATGAGTCACACCAGTTTTAAACAGCACTTCAGCTGATCAGCTATTTGTTTGTCCATTTATCAGTCTTGCATCTAGATCTGCTTTTATGCACCGATACTCGATGCTGTAGATTCAGTGGGACTCGGTAAATTCTCAAAGGCCTTTCAGCGGTTACACTCGAAATTACAGTGTGAAAAGTCTGACTATCGAACGGCGGTTGTCCTGTGATGTAGTATAGTGTAGTGTACCGCGTGATTTATCAATAGTACATCATACTCTAGGGCGGAAGTGGTGTAGTGACAAGTGGCACGCTCACCACGCGAGCGGTCCGGGGATCAAATCCTGGGTCGTGAGTCGCCCGGGCCAACCAAGCCTTCCATCCCTCCGGTTAATTGGTACCAGACTTGTCTGGGAGGATCACTGACTTGTACATCGGCTGGCCCCCGCAAGTCATTGTATAGGCCACATCGCATTCAAACGCCACTACGAATGTACAAATGGAAGTAGAATGCGTGCCGCATCCCAAAAAAGGCAACGGCAGTCTTTTCTTCCAATATGGGGAGAGTATCCTTTAACTTCATATCCTCTTCATCGATCGTTTTGTTTCTACTCTCCAAATTCAAATGCTTTGCCGCTCAAGGAGCACTTTTTTGCGTTCCCTCGACTCCGCCCGACATACCCACGACCGTCCTCAGGGTGTGGTTGTAGGTTTGTTTCTCTTCGGAAATAAGCTTTCTAGAGTGGAACTCTGTGGTTTCTGTGGTGACAACTGACCTATTTTGTTGTGAAGAGATGCAAGAATTTTGCTTAAACGATTCCTTCAAGGATATTGTCGACACGCTTTTTCTTGGAAAGTTTTCCAGGCAGGCGTCCGTCCCAGAAATAACATTAGCACCGCAAAAAATGTGCGATCGACATTCCGTGCTACGTGTACCTAATGAAAGCCGAGAGCCGAAACGTCTTCATATTTATTAAAAAAATTATATTATTTTAAAGTACAGTGAAAGGCACATGGAAAGAAATTGCAGGCAACAAGTGAAAGGTCATAGAATTCAAAATACCTGTATAACACAGAACAACACACGGATATACAGAAATCATACAGAAAGGCGACTTCGATTTTTTCACTTTCCAGATTTCAAAACACTTTTGGGAATTTGACGGAATACGATTTTCTGTTACAGGCACTTTTAGGCAGAGGACCCAAATAACTCCTTTCTATAAGCGCCGTAAGATAAATAATGATTCATTATAGCGACGGGATACCGGGCATAGGTTAACAGTTGTCACTAAAAACCCTCGCCAAGACCTGAGCTCCTCGTTTCAGGTCCAGATTCATCATCTCGTTTCGCTTCAACTTTTGTAGCACTTCACGACTTCCTTTTCCAAAGATACCTGATATAAATAAGTTTTTAGGGAAAAAGCCAAGATATCAATAGCTCAATTTCCACCAATTAAAAACGGTGACCAACCTCTCAAAGTGTTTTTGAACGCTTCACGAGCTTTCGTTTTGAGACAGTTTTGTTTGTCTTCGTTCATTCGAGCAGTTTTGCTAATAAATGAGGCTTGTTCAAGATTGATATCCATTGTCTTCTTGGACGGACAACTGAAAGATGTTAGGAATGCAGTCATTTTGGGTGGGAACTAAAAATTTCTCGAGTCAAAAGGCACACCCCTTGATCGAATTTTTTATGATTGTAGCTCTGGGGCCGAATGCAGCAAGTCCCGGCAAGGGGATGAGTCCCCTAAACTCTGCATCTCTAGGCGCATCCCCTATCCTTAACCACGAGGACCACTCATCGGATGGAGTGGACACGCAGAGTTTTGGGTACCCATTCCCTCGCCGGGACTTGCTGCACCCAGCCTCTGCTGGAGGGGGAACCTACAGATCTAAAGTGGGCCGATAGCGAAGGAAAAAGGAACAGAAAGCACCGGAAACACAAGAACCCCATTCTCTAAGCTTTGTAGGCTGTAGAGAATATAAGAAAGCGGATTAAGGGATGCTGAGTGCCAAAGAGAGAGAAAAGAATCAGAGACGACAAAACACAGATATGAACGAGAAACGAAGTGGCTCTTGATACTGAGTAGAGCTTCGCGAACATCTTAGGCCATGCTTAGGCCATGCACCTATGCATGGCTACTTTCTGGCCAAATCAGTACATCCTATGTGTTTGCCAACTGCTCCACCTTCCTCAGGCTAGGGTTTCATCCCTGTGAGCTGACCGTGGGCTTACCCTCTGAGACATCACGAGAACGCTGAGCCATGAACTTATCTTCTGGCCTCGAACGGACTCGAACTGTGTAATCGCATCTCAACTATGTCATGCGCGTTTACCGATCTCTACCCTTTAAAAAGTAGCTCAGAAGTAATATGCACTTGCCCTACCCCCACCCCTCCCTGCTCGCCCCTTCCTCTCCCCCCTCTACCGCTGATGGCAGATTTGGAGGAACACTGGGAACGGAGTCGGAGTTTGTCATCTCATGAGGTGCTAGAATCAGATGCCACAGGACCAGCGTGGTTCAACAGTATTTCATTCTGGGGAATGTTTGAGATATCATGAGGTTGCTAAGCTACTGAAAAATCCTGTGGACCTGAACGAAGTCGAGCTATAACATATCATTATGGTGTTGAGCTAACAACCAAGCCTCTGGCTTCAAACGAACTTGAGCTATATCATAAGGAGGCTGAAATCTTAACAATTGGCCTCGAGCGTACCCTGACTATGTCAGCCTTCGGTTACGCTTATCTATTGGTACGACGAAAGCTTACCTATCAAAGTTCGGACAGCATTCTCTGAGTTTTGAGCATTTCTCTTGAATGAGATTCGCATCACGGTAGCAATCCATCGACTGCTTGTATTCTTCGCTAAGGAGTCGAATAAAAGCCGAACTATACATAATATGCTCCACGGGGGAGTACGGTAGGCAGATTGATGACGCAAACTGTAAATCAGTACGCTGACTAGTTGATGGATACCGTATCGAGAAAGCACACTCACGAATTGTTCGTTCTTCTTATCGAGGCAATCCCGGAGTCGGCTGTTACGTTTGATCATCATCTCATAGAGTTCCTCGTAGAACGGCTGCTCGGCCGGATCACAGAGTTCTTCAGCCTTCCAATAGAATCAGTGAGAACAATGGAATTCAAAATTTGTAATCATTCATGTTTTCGCTGAATTTTTTTTTCAGGAAACGGCGCTATCGCAAGATACGGGGGCATCCTCCAGGACTGAGCCTTGGAGGAAACTTGGTGCAAAATGAAAACTGCTCACCACTTGAAGCTTCCTCCGCTTAAGGCTCAGTCCCGATTCCAACAAGATTCACGAGATGACTCACGCGGTTTTCGAATGCACCGCCATCACTATGCCCCCATATGTTGCGGTAGGCCCCAGGAAGCACTGATGAGATTCATTGAATGAAAGGTTAAGTTTCAGAGTGTTACGCCTCAGGATCTTGTGATCGTTTCAGTCCCACTGATTTTAGA